ACGCAGCAATAAATTAGGCACCAGCGTTTCTTTCTCCACCTTGGGGAAAAAAGTGCCGAGGGTTGGTGGTATAGAAGGGAAAAAAAAAAAAAAAATTCAATTGGACGCCAAAAACAATTTATGGATACATTTATGAAATAGCTCGACGGGGAGGAAAAAAACGTCTGTCGAGCACGTGTTTCGTGCGAGACTCCTTAACTGCGCGAGGATTACGAATTCCATTTGACATTTTAGCAGGTTCAAAGGTCAATATGAATTTATAAAAATATCAAACACCTCGCGAGTGCTGCGCACGAAGATTACTAAATTATTGCATATGATTCTTTTTATCAACCGCGAGCTACTTCTTTTTCGTGTCAAACAGAATTTTGAAAATACACCATACACACGGAATCGAGTAACCCTCATGTATGAGCAACTTCAATAAATGTAAATTAAATTGGGGAAAAAATTTGGAAAAATAAAAATGTAAAAATAAACATTCTTTTGTAGGGAGTCGTATCTGAACGATCGAAAATCAAATTTAAATGCCGTATCTTCTGAACTTCGTAGCTGCCATACGAATCGCAGTGGATCATATGTGTTTGGTCGAGTTCGACCGTCTATTTTTTTTTTTTTTTTTTTTTTTTTTTTTTTTTTTTTTTTTTTTTTTTTTTTATTCACATGACTTGACTCACGTAACGAACGCGTTAAATTGGCCGAAAGGTGAACGAGGCGGCTACTGTGGAAAATTGGCCGGCGAGCATCCAGTTATTGTAGGTGGTAGAGCAATTTGGTGCTAGTGGAGTCGGCACTTACGGTATATACAAGTTACTAACAGACAACCCAGGAACAAGAGAATGTAGGCGGTCGAGTTGTCGGACAGTAGTAGCCAGAAGTACATATGTAACAAACTACACGTATACACGTATATGTATGTACATAGGTAATAGGTCGATGGGTACTGTTGCAAATTAGCCGCTGGTCAATGTTTTATGCGAATTGCAACTGCGGCTGTTGCTAAAACGTATTTTATCCGAATATCTGAACATAACCTCCATTTCCCTGGTAGCACGTGCGAAAGAGAGTCCGAAGTAAGAGGGAATACAAAAATAAAACTATACGGGAATAGTCTTCTGGCCTGATGAAAAATTCAAATTTTTCTTTGCCTCCGCTAAATATATTTTTATATTGTTTTTAACTCTTTCCGGGTATAATGGCAAACACGTATTGGGATTCGGGAAAAGATATTTACCTGGGCTGGCAGCCCCGAGTTGCTAACGGGAGATGATTTCTACTACACTGGGGATGAACGGGAACAAGAGTGGATCCCGTATGTCGCGTATGACCGTCCTGCTGCTGCCGGTCTCTGAACAAATGTGTGTATACACGTTAGGTTACGAGCTCCGTCGTTCTAGCCAGCCCGAGTAAAGTGACTACGTGTCCGGCGTACCAACTCCATTAAAATCTATCTGCACGGGGTAATACAAAATTTAATAATTTTATAGCGAACCTGTGGGAAGGCTGGATTAATATATTTTTTTTTCAATCGCGAGATGAGAAACCTTTTTTTTTCAAAAAAAAAAAAAAATAGGATTCTCAGAGAATAAATTGGTATGTTGAATTCGAATGGCGACAGAGGGATTTATTAATTTGAAATTAATTATTTACGCGGTCTGTGCATAAAATGGTGCGATAAAAAATTGGCCAGTGACGTCATGAGAATTTCAAACAAAATTTTGGATCACAAAGGGGATCACGTAATTTTTTTTTTTTCTTCGGGGCCAATTTCAACGACTTTTCTCTACGGAGGAAAAAAGTAGGATGTTCCCGAAAGGATATGTTGTAATATTGACCTTAAGTGCCGGTAGAGGGGTTAAGGGGTTTGGTGATAAAAGATAAGCGACCTCTTTACCTATCCAATTCGTCAGTCCTTTTATTGTCGGAGCTGATACTCAACTTTAAGTGGTTTAATATTCGACCTAACCCAACCTTTGCCCTTGTGGTCGGGACACGAATGCATGCACGTGGCTATGGACAGCCACAGTTGTGTGACCCTGGGTACTTTATACGATAATGTCAACCATTTTGTCTAGAGCGTAACGACCGTCAACCCTTCGAGATTCCGAGCTGCCAGTATGTTACCATGCAGATGCGTCCCTCCTTATGTGGGGAAATTACTGTTTTCTTTCGCACCTTACGAGGACATTTACATGCCAGTCCGTTTCTGGGCTTCTGCTTGGCCATTACCCTAGACCCGAAATACAGGGTGTATTCGTAACAGTGGAAAGTCTAGGAATAAAGTGGCTACCCTATATACGGTATGTGTCCGGAAAAGGTTGAGGCAAAATTTTAAAAATCTTTTTTTTTTTGGGTTGAACCATTTTTTTTATTTCTACAAAACACCAGCGATTTTATATGTTACTTTTGCACACGTTTGAAATTCCTATTCAGAATTATGTAACCGGCACTTTACACGGGTACCAACCCGGTTGTATTCAAAGATGCTGTGTTGGCACGAGTAACCTAACCCAACGTTCGAACGCTTAACGAACCGAATTCAATTTATTGAAAATTGGATAAAATCGAGGGGATGATTTTTTTCCCTACCAAGGACCTCGACTGCCCCATACGCAGCTGGTACCAATTGATATTTATTTCAAGTTTTCTACACTGCAGTTTTCTACTCGGTAAGGGCTTATGGTGAAGAATGTCCTGATACTGTTCCCAATTTGCAACCCTTAATTACTACAGCCAACCCCATGACTTTAAGCAATCATGTAAATCACCCCGATACATTTAACCAGTATCCATGTTTACCCTAAGATATAGTAGTGAGTTCATTTTTTGTAGTTTAAACAATTTTTATTTTTTTTTCAATTTTACTAATCATCTCCATTTCTTTCTCAGGGGGTTGTATCTCGCGTGACTTTAGATCATTATGACGAGCGAAAATATATACACAACTACCCCTTCTTTATGTACTCCTGGCAAGAGCCCTTTCTCCCGCTCTACGTAATGAAAACTTTCTCGTAAAAGATTAACGATTTCTTTTATTCCGGTTTTTTGAATAGGCACACGTCCATTTAACTCCAGCCCATAAAGAATTTCCAATGCGTTTCTCACAGCCGTCTGCTGTGCCCTTATCCAGTCTGTGAATTGGATTATTATTTTTTCACTTGGTGAACAATCTCAAGAGTTCCTTTATCATCCCTTCTATAGGGGGACGGATGACTAGGTACAGCTACGGAGATTTATACGATATCTTAGCCTTCTTCCTTTTAACACGAATACCCATAATATTTAACAGCAGCGTACAGAAGTACGTAAGGAAGAATTTATGTTCTTGAAATTAAACGATAAATTTATGATAAAAGACTTTTTTTTTTCACCTATGACGGAAGAGTTTTTTTTCAAAATCTTTTTCCAGCTCTCGTTTAATACGCGAACTTCATCTTTTTTTTAAACTCTTACCACTCCCTTATATCCTTCATACACGCGTAGAAATATCGTCAAGTCGACTAGTACGTTTCAGACCTTTAACCAACAATTTCAAATTCCATTAGGAAGAATTTGAATAATTATATGTATGCAAATACTTGCGTTACCTCCCTTGCGGTTCGGACTGAATTGCTGGCACGCAGCATCCCCTAACGAACTTCACGTTTCCCCAAGTGCTTAAGACAACAAAACTCTCATTCGTCCCCAACGGTCCATATGGTCCAAATAAAAAAGAAGAAAATATAGAAAATTAAAAACAATTTCCTCCCTCAGTTATTATCGGTATACAAAAATCAGGCTACAAATTTCAATGCCAAACCTGGACAATGCATTAAAAAAAAAAGACTAAAAATTCAAATATACATACCAAAATACATTGATACACATGGACCATGTGTGCCTATATGTGTCCGACGGAATCCAAGAAGAGCAATGGTAAACCTGCAAATATTTAAATTTCCCGGCAGATGTTCTGCATGCGCATTACCTCGCGTGCATGATGCATGAGTCACTCGAGTCATCCGCGATACCCGCGGTGCAACGGATCCTCGACTTTTGCTTTTAAGTTTGCCAATACAGCGAGATAAAAGTCAGGCTGGGAAAGACAAAAGCGAATTTCTAATCAACAATTACGCAAGATCGTTTACTTCGAGCATCCCGTAAGAAGCTTTGGTTCGGCTTATTCGCAGCTACGGCAGAGCTTTACTTCGACTCCTCTTATCAGGCCTCCTCGCAGCATCCGTGCAGTGAGCTCACCTTTAAAAGACTCCGGAGGACTGTACACTCGCTTTCGCGTAGTTCAAAATCAAAGGAAACACCTCGAGCGATATACAAATTCAATATTCCCACCATCATTATGCATCTGAACGATGATATTTAAAATAATCTACAAAAATATTCATCATCCCCCCCGAGACGAATGACGCAAAATTCATAAAAGAGCTTTTGGATGGTGCTCTATTTTTTTTTGGTTTCGTAAAAAATTATTCACGGTCGGTATAGTGCAGTCGGGATAGGAGTCGAGAAATGCATCTGCATATTTTATATTAATGTTAATGTCACTGCATCGTACCACCATGTCACTTTCAGGGAATGCACACATTAACGCTCTCCCTCTCTCTTTGTACATATAATATACAAAGGGCTACGAGGGCGGAAATAGAGAATTGCACACTCAACGATAGTCGCGATTTTTTCGAGGAGCCCACGAAGCAGCCAGAGCCAAGTTACGTGGTTAAACTGCCGACAAGTGAGCAACAGCGACTGCTGCAAAGTGCAAGGCTTCCCGGTGAATCCGCTTCTTTTGTAGTGCAATATCGGCAGGTTGAAAGGTGGGAAATTGTCAGGAGAGATTCTCCGAGATATTTCCCAATACGGTTTATGGGTTGACGACTCGATGTGCTCGACTCTGGACTGCGCTCGTTGACGGACTCTCGGAGGTTGAGAGAGAGAAATGGGGAAATTAAGGAAAGATAAGAGGTAAGAAGAGAAAAAGAAGAATCCGTATAGTTGGTACTTACCTTCTTCCATGGCAGAGTGGCAATTAAGTGGAGAGTCGTGAATCCGAGGGAAGTTGCGAGTCTTCTAGTAATGATACCGAAAAATCCGTCTCTGGAAACGTGAGGGCCAATTATCAATTGTCTCAGTAACGTAGGGACAGTCGCAGGACGAAAGCCAGGTAAATCCCCAGGGAAGAGTCCTTGGGATTTTTTGAGAATTTGTCCTTAGGCTGCTCCCACTGTGTTCTGGAAATAGAAAAAAAAAAACGACTTTCATAATGACTCTTACAGCAAGTAGTACATATATACGATATAGGTGTGTGTACATATATTACATTGAATTTCTAAAAAAAAAATTTAACATATTTTTTTTATCAAAGTTACTTACGTGCACTTCGATCAAAATACAATGGATTTAGAGTGCACCGATTAGTCGAACTAATGTAAGTGCATATAATGCAGTATTCAAAAATTGAAGAATGCAATTTTGAAAAAGAATGTAATCCTGTGAAATAATTTTATAATAAAATAATCTACCGCTTAATTTTTATTTTTTTCCATTAATCAAGTGTATCTCACGTCAACGTTGAAACGTGCTTTACGTGCTTCTACGTTGACAGACTTTCTGGATTAAAAACACTTGATATGATAAACCGAGTGAAAGCTGTAGAGATCCTAGTGAAAAAAAAAAAGAAATATGAAAATATGAGAATAATCATGAGATAGCCCAGGGGTGGGTAATATTGTATCAAAATCAACCCCTGTACAGTTATTCTATCATAATGACAAATTACGAAATTCTTGTAATACCTCTTGTCGTGTAATTCTATAGGATATTAAAATTAGTCAATATAGTTAAAATTCGTAAGTAACGAAAACGTGTCTCTTTTGTCCAAGGGATACAACGTGGAATGTGGCTAATATACGATTGCTCGTGTTATGCTAGAGAAATTTGTTGATGAGTTGATGGTATCTAGTCTGGCTAGATACCTTCACAAAGCTACAGCCGAGCTGCGCTAATTAATAATTACTCCGAGCAAATATTATTATTTCATACTGCGTTTCAGCACTCGGCTATTTACATTCGCAGACGATAAATCTATTACGGTTAACAATTTCTTGTTTATACGGCATCCACTTCGCCAAGCAGATTATTATACGGATAGATACGAGTGGTGAGTGGCGGTCCACGTTATTCACGAATATATTATATCCCTTCAAAATATTCTACAGACATTTGTTGACAAACTTGTATAATATATAAATCCCTAAAGCAATTGCCCAAACTGTATAAGAAACATTGAAACGTAGGTTACGTATACAGTAGGTCGTGACGTTAGCCACTCGACAAAGCAATCTGGCCATTATAAGCATCACTCGGAGTGTGACAACGAATAGAATTGAAAAATAAAAAGAAATAAAATTTTTTAATTCGCACTGCCGAATTCCATTCTAACTGTAAATCGATAAAATGCATTAAAAAATATCGACGAGCCAGCAGTGACGGGAAAAGTGTCGCGCTCGGTTGAAAATTTGTTCTTGCTTTTGTCGTGTCTTTTGTTTCATTTTTAATAAGAAATTTTAAAAAAAATGGAAAACACGACAATAAATAGAGGGAGCGAGGGGCGACGGCAAAAGGCTGCATTGTCCCACCGCAAGGGGTACTAATTACCCAACGGATGAAAGGGTTACCGAATAGCACAGTCAGTGGCCATATAGCCTGGTAGCCTGGTAGCCTGGTAGCAATCCAGTATGTACGTACAATATATACGAAGGAACGAGTCCACTTATATTACGCTTGTTTATTATAATAAACTCCCTTACTGTCTGCACAATCTCTCCAATGAAAATACCTCCTGGCGCCAAGAAAGCTTTTGTCATTTTACAATTAAACCAGATTATCATTGTCATCAGGCAAAAACGACTCGGTACTTTAAACATTTTCTTTGAGCGTCCTAGCAGTGCCGCCATCTTTGTTGGGTAAGGAAAAGGAGCATCGCCATTAATATTTCATTTCAAAATTTTCCCTTGCTCCCTTTCGCCCGCTTTCGATCCTCCCCGACTACTCGAGTCCCGCACCTGCATACCTAGACCCATTCACCTTCCCCTCAATTCTCGCCGCCCCTCAGTTTTCGACTTGGGCTTTATGCGCCATTTTTGTCCGAGCTTTCTTTTCCAACCCAAGCTACCCTGAATGCCACGTCATTTACTACCACCAGGTGCCTCGATGTAAATGCGTGAATGAGCTTAAAGCCGACGGCGGACCGAGAAGGCTGGAAAATAAATATGGGCGACCCCGTCGCTAGGAAGTCTAACGGGAACCACCGGTGAACGAGTGCACGAGCGACAAACGCAGAAATGTCAACCCGAAGCTACCTGAACTCAACAATAGGAATTTTCTCGAAAGGGTACAGAACGGCTTCAGCTATTCGAAATAAATCCACTTCAACTCCGCAATGGCTATAACGCGTTTCCTGCCACCTGGGTCACCGGTGGACTTTGCGTTCGGGCTGTTTCAAATTCGTACTGGTAACTGCAAGCTCGAAAGTCTGGATCATCAAGGACCCAGGCGACGTAAATTAAAAGCAGCCCGAAGTTGCCGCGATAGCAAACGCGATCACGGAACGTGACAGCGACAAATAAATATTCAGCCCCCATTAAGAAAATAATGATAATAAATTCGGAAATTTTTAGTATCGACATCGATTTTGGTAATAAATTGTGAATAATTCTTCAAAATTAACCTACCGTATCAAACTGGTATATAATCCACAGATTCTGAAGATAATGAAAATCTAAATAACAGTACTGAGCAAATGACTCGAATGAATTAACTAGTGCGCGATTTACGCAATTCTGATAATAACGATAATTATTTTTATCGCCCATAGAAACACCGTATCAATATATAATCCGTCAATATATAATCGAACACAGTGAAATCTCTTGATCTTACTAATTCAGAAAGTCAACCAACAAACGACACTTTTCCAACAGCCGCATTAAAAAGATTCTTTTCAAGACGTCAAACTTTCCTTCCGGTCCGCTTCTGGCTTATCGCTCTAATTCCTAAAAGACTGGATTCGCAAGGATGCTCTCGGGCGTTTCCGGGCTTATCGTAATTCCGGTCACGCAGCCTCCCTCGTCCTTTCGCCAAGGAACCATCTCCTTGAATCTTGGCGAAAACAAGCTCAGAAGACGGCGGAGCATCCATCCACCGCTCCTTACGTGCTTCGCGCCATGACCTTCCAGCTTCCTCTGCGTCTGCATCGTACGTCTTCCCGCATCTACTTGGACTTGGACATCAACCTACGTCGTGGGCCCGCACATCCGGTTTCTCGTTTAAAAATAAAAAACCGCCCTTCCCACGTCTCTTTGCTCGGTTACTTACTTTCTTCCTTGCTTCCCTGAATCTTTGTCCTTGTCTCTCTGTTGCTCAGCTGCTCCTTCCTTTCATTACTCAACTTCTGTTTCCCGCAACTGCAGCCAGCAGCGTAAGATGCTCCTGGTTTCCGGTTAACTTAAACTTTGTCTTTTCTCGCTTCCTGTGTTTCTCTTCTTCTCTCTCTCTCTCTCTCTCTCCCCCCCCCTCTCTCTCTCTCTCTCTCTATGACGCGGCCGACAGTCGAATGGGGTAACGTTGTCATGGGTCGAATTTAAAAATTATAAATTCATATCCCACCCCTTTCGTTTCGCTTCGGAGAATATACATTTTTAGGGATGTTACCTCGAGCATCCCTTATTTTTTATGACTGCCGAAATTTTAAACGTGAATACAGCCCATCTCTGAAAAGGGGTTTTATTTACCACTCTACCCTCGTTCTCTTTTTCCTCGCATTTCGCGCATTCTGGAGAGGGCTACGTTCGCGCTAACTCCTCGAGGGATCCGTCGAACGAGGCCAACGAGGAGGGAAACTGTGCTGCGGCGCATCGCGTCGTTACGTTGCCAGGAAATCGAGCAACTTTTGAACGAGAGAGGAAGCCCAAGAGAAATGTGGCCGCCTCGTGGTTCGTTTAAAGCGACGCTCCAAACGATTTCGTATTCCTTGCCGAGCGTCGACGTAAGTCGAAAGTCACGTCTAATCCATACATAAATCTATATGTGTATCACATGTAAATTTTTTTTCACACCCACCACAGGGATGCTACTCACGGTGTGAAATAAAGGTTCATCCTTAATTGCTACTGAATTCCAACTTGGGAGGCATTGACCTCCATCGACTTCCGTCGTAAATCTTTTCTGCACTTTTTCTGCTGATAATAAACGACAGGCACGG